TTCATCGCCTGAGAATGGTTGCTAAAGAAAGACCACCTGTACCACTCTACATAAATACTAAAGAATGGCTTCTCATCAACTGGATTAGCAGCTGAAATGACTCTGTTCATAAAACAGGTCAAGAGTAGAAAGAACTAAGATGGATTATATAGAGCTGGACAGAAGCAGAGATCTCTCTGTTAATTTTCCATAACCAAGACTGGGCAGCTTGGATCAATCTGTACACCAGAGTGAGTATGCCTGGAATCTCAAAAGTGTCTGATTTGGGGATTGGATGGGGTATGTGCCCTAACCTTGAATCTGGAGCCTGCAAAAAGAGTGCTGACAGGCCCCATTTCTTGCATTCCTCTTCAGAGTATGCCACTTCCTTCTTGTGGTATATCAACAAATATAGCTGATACATAATCTAGAAATCCTGTGGCCTTGGGATCACTTGTACTATACATCAAGCAGGTATAACCATGGCAGCCTTCAAAACAGCAGATAGTTACCATGTGAGAAAAGTTTATTTAAAGGGAGTAAGGGCGAAAATTTTTTTTTATGGAAGGAACCCCTAGTTTTTGTTAATTACAACTATGACTTTCATAGGTTTATGGAGTTTTTAATTTTTCCAATTTCTAAATATAGCATTGGGAATATATATTGATTTTTAGTACTTATTGGATTTCAAATGATGTATTTCAAAAAGCATGGGCACAATAAAATAATTATCTCATACCATTAATATTTTGGCAGAATCTTGGTTCTAGTTTTAGTTATAATTTGTTTTTTGTAGGGTCGAGAATACACATTTGGAATCCTTTGGCAAATCAGTGGGTTAAGGTCTTAAAGAGGTTAAATTAGTATTATATGACATTAAGATTAGATGAATTCTACAAAACATTCTTTTTCAAGTATATTAGTATATTATATATTTATAAAGGGCTGGAAGTGCAATACGGTAGAAGCAACATTGACTCGTATATTTTGGGCTTGCTAAGATTATTTTATTTTGGCAACAAGATTCTGATGACTTAAAATTCTAAAGAGAAGACATGTGGAGTCCATGTACATACAAACAGACTGATACCAAGAAATATATGATCAAAATAATTACATGTAATCAAGCTTTAATATGCTGAGACTTAAGTACTATTGCAAATGTAATTGTTTCAATATGTATTAAATGATACAAATTAGTATGGACAGGACAATTTTACAAAAATGCCAATATCTCAGATTTTCCTGGGAGGTGTTCTTAATGAGGGGTTATGAGTGCCCACTTGGTACATTTAAATACTCTATTAAAGATCTAGAAACCCCATAGGACCAGTTTGCTTTATCCAAGGAAGTTTTTTCTGAACAGTCAAGTTTTCAACCCAGCAAAAGTTTTACATCATTTCCCTGTTTCCAAATTCTGAAGAGCACTAATATTAGCCTGCTTCAACACTCTTCCCTCAGCAGTTTGGGAGGGTCTACATAGAAAAGTTCCAATGAACTAAAGATTGTGCCCTGGGGACAAGGAACTATTGAAATTACAGCTCATGCCTTGTTGTATTGCATCCTTTATAAGCATCCTGGGAATCACCTTGCAATTCCTTACCCGATAAAACACCCAAACATTTGGATTTTTTTAAATGTACAGTATTATCAGCTCAGTATGATTTTATTTCCCTGAAGGCAGCCAAATTCTGTTAGTATAAAGGGCTGACAGTTATACTGCCTGTAAAATTAGGCACACTGCCTACCCACGGATCAGTCTGCCATCAATTGTAACATTCTTATCCTTTTTTAAAAACCTTATTTTATTTTTTTAATGTGTTTTATTTTTAAAACACTGGTCTGCACTCATAACAAATGTTTATGTATCAATTTATTTTTCATTTTAATTTTTCCTTCTTTCCCATATTTGAATTACTTTCTGGTTTGTTTCTTTTTGGCCTTTGTATGATTAATTTATTTTTGCACTTGGTTCTTTTCTTTTACTGTACAACTGTTGATTTAAAATCCCATAAAATCATTCAGAAACAAAATGATTAAGGCTAATGATAAACCCCAGCTGAAATGACCTTAAGCTAATCATTTTTTATAACTCAGTCTTCATCACTGGAGTTGTTGCTCTGGAGGGAAAGAATAGGTGGCAGGATTGCTATGTATGCCATCCAGAAAGTCCTCAACTTATGACCATAGATGTTAAGTGAATGTTGTCCCATTTTACAACCTTTCTTGCCACAGTTGTAAAGTGAACCACTGCAGTTGTTAAGTGAATCTGGCTTCCCCATTGACTTTGCTTGTCAGAAGGTCACAAAAGGTGATCACATGACCTGGGACACTGTGACCGTCATAAATATGAACCAGTTTCCAAGCTTCTGAATTTTGATCACGTGACCATGGAGATGCTGCAATGGTCGTGTGAAAAATGGACATAAGTCACTTTTTCCAGTGCTGTTGTAACTTTGGTCACTAAATAAATGTTGTAAGTCGAGGACTACAGGTAGTCTACAGGGAGTTGATATAAAAATACAAAATGACAAATAAATATATAATTCTAGTATATTATATAATTGTATATTTAGTATAGCACATTATAAAATATTTGTATATTCTGGTATATTTGTATATTTTAATGCATTTTTTAATATATATCGTTGTTCAGTCCCAAGTCTTTTGAAAATTAGAGCAGAACTTCATAGAAGGGTGGAGCAAGGCTGGAAAAGGGTGGAGTTTACATCTCCCCAAAGTCTCTGAATTAGGTTTCAAATTTTCAGAAAGTGGGAAGTAAAGGAAAATTGAAATGGTAGAAGACTAGATATTGCTGCTTTGTTGCAAAAAGGTAAAAGTCTACAAAGAAGCTTGCATTAGCTTCTTGGCTTATTTTGTTCTATGTTGTGCAAATCTAATATTCTTATCGCTCTGTGTAAATTATTTAACTGATTGTGTAACCTCGGCCTTTATCCACCTACCAGGCTGTATATGAAGATATCAACTTTTCTTCTAGAATGTTCTTGTGAATGGAAATATTAATTTAAAACATCTAACCAATTCCCCTTTTTATAAGACTCTAAGACGAAGAATGAGCCATTTAGGGTAACCATTGCCATCCTGTGGTGTACTTGAAACATTTTCTTTTGTACCTCTTTTTTTTTTAATTCCAAAGTGTCCCAATCACAATAGAAGAGCCGTACTATTATGTATCTGGAGAGCTGTGGAATTTATTCTCTTCATGTTTGAATTTGTGTGTATCTTAATGGTTAAGTTTCATGGGTCATTTATCTTCCTCAGATAGTCCTCGACTTACAGTCTTTCCTTCAGCAACTATTATAACAATACTGAAAAAAGGACTGGTTCTTGCATTTAAGACTGTCACAAGATCCCATGGTCATGTGATCAAAATCTGGGCATTCGGCAACTGGCATGTATTTATGACAGTTACACCATCCAAGAGTCAAGCGATCTTCCAAGCTGTCTTCCAACAAGCAAATCAATAGGGGAAGACAGATTTGCTTAATGACCATGTGATTCACTTAAAAATTAAAGTGATTTGCTTAACAACCAAGGCAAAAAAAGTTGTAAGCATGACCAATTAACAACTGCCTTGTTAGCAATTCTGGTTCCAATTATGGTCATAACTTGAGGATTTAATGACCTCACTTAATAACTGTCCTGTTTAGTGATCATTCAAAGTTACAACAGTCCTCCTATTTATAGCATCGCCCACAGCCATGTGATAAAAATTTGAGCATTTTTCTGTTGTGGTCACATGATGTTTTGCTTAGCAACCATGTTGCTTAAAGATGTTATTGCCATTCCCAGTTGTAGTTGCTTAAGTGAGGACCACCTGTATATCTTTTTTTAAAATAAAGTTCAATTTTGTTTGTCTCTGATGAGATCACCCAAGGAGGAAAAGAAGATCTGAATCATGTAGTCACATTCCCCCATCATTCATAACAGGAGATTGCAAGGATGATGATGATGATGACAATAATTAACATTATAGTAATAACTTCACTTTGGGCATTGTTAGCTTTTCATCTTCAGAAAGACAAAACATGATGACATCCTTATTTTTCTCAAACCCTGAGGTAAGAGTTGGATGTCAGGTGAGCCTCACCCAGAAGTTAAGTGATGGCATCAAAAATGACCAAAGGTACTACACCAAATCCGGAGGTGGAATCTAGAAGGCCTCTGAAAAAGGAGATTTAAGGTCTTTATCTTCTATACTAAGGTCTCAGCCAATCTGTCATATAGTGATACAATTGCAATTCAATACAACTCAGTGTTAATTTATTGTTAAGATAGTCTGGTGAGGAAAATATGCTCATTGTTGACTAATCACACAACAGGTTGAGTCCTGGACTTGTGGTTTGGCTTTGACAAATAAATTTCCTCATTCTCAAGGAATGGTAATAGATGTGGCTCAGCTCAAGGAACCCCCCTATAATTTCCTTTGTATTTTTTTTTTTAAAAAACTATTTCCCATCAACTTTTTGCAGTTCTATCTACACCTTAGATATAATGCTTAGACAGGTAGAAGATGATTTACGAATGATTCCTGAGAAAGATTCATCTGCTGTTCTAACACTTATCTAACACTTTTAAACAGCAGAAGGTCACATTATGTCAACTGAATCAGTAATATTTTGTGGTTTATTACCTGTACCTCAGTCAGCCAATCCAGTGTTGTAATATGCCACAACAGTATTAGGTTGGCAGCCACAGTTATTTAATGCAAACTGTGGTATGAAAAGAAATGGGTGGAAAGGAGGTAAAGAGTCATCATGGAGGTGATTCATCAAAATGTTTTCAAAAGGAATGTTAACCCCTGTGTATCAGCAGCTCTACAAATGCATTGGCCAAGACTAGATATTCTTTGAGATTTCAAAGGAGAAAACCTTGATTGGATAGTCGTTCATTGGTGTCCCACATTGGCTGACATTATCTGCTCAAACTCTGGGATCCAACAGGACAAAAACATGTTTTCCAAAGTTGCTTGGAACCATTTCTTTCTGACGTAAAATTGCCTTGGAAACCAGCTCCTGATATCTTGGTTATTTTTTCAGCACTGCTATCAGCTAGGCAGCCATCCATGTAGCGTAATACCTCATGAGACATGTTACGATTAAACCCATAGCACCTCAGTCACAGCCACTGGTACCCTACTTGGTGTTATGTGGAAGTGGGGAAATTGCAAATGATGCCATTGTTGTTGAAATGTTTATGTCATTCTCATTCTATGCTCAACTTCTCCATTCTGCTGCAGAATCAGTATGGGTGCTGCAATCCACTTCATCATCTTTTTCAGCTCTCTCTCTCTGTGTTTGATTAGGGCAACCAAAACATTATTTTATAATGGCATTAAAGCACTAGTAACTTTAGTCCTGAGCCCTTTCCTAAATATCCCTTTGGTGGATTTTTCTTTTTCCACAGTATCTATTGTCAGTCAGCAGGTAGGGAGCTTGGTGGAACCACTGCTTTTTATTTGTTTCTTTACTAATTTATTTATTTAATCTATTTATGGAGCCACATTTCTCACAATTATGACTCCGGGTGGTGAATATAGGATTAAATCCAATAATGACAAAAATAAAAAAAATAAAAATAATAAACAAGAATAAGAGTAATAGCATAGTGGTACCTGAGTATAACACTAACTCAAGCCACATAATCACTGGCTTGTTCAGAAAGGTCACATTTGCAAGCCACCCAACCTCCAGTCCCATGTCTGAAGGAATACTGACAATTTCAAGGACATTTTTGGATACAGCTTATGCTATGATGTTTGCTTAAATAATTTTTAGGAGTAATAATACTTAACATATATCGAATAATTTTCCTGCTTGTTGACACTATCAAAAAATTCTAAAAAGCTAGTGAGATAAGATGTTCCTTTGCAGATGTCCCACTAATTCCTTTTTAGCAAGAATTTTCTTCTTTGTGATTACTTTTTTTCTTTTTAAAAAAAGATGATATGTTGCCTACTTCTTCAGACTTTGGGATGTATTGATAATGTATATTTTTGTTAGAAGATCAGCAATTCTATCTATACTTGTTTATTATAAACTGCCATTGAGGCACATTATCTTCTTCATTGTTAATTTGTCATTAATCCCAAAAATTCCATCCAACACGTTGATTTGCCTAAATTCTTTGAATGTTGTTCGTAAAAAAAAAAGAACACTTTAGGACACAAATATCTGTCCTACATCTCCCACAGTTACCATAATTAGTTAATATCTGCAGAGTATCCTTATTCTCCTTCAGCACTCTTTCTATCTAAACATCAGTCTTTTCCCACAGCTAGATTCCTGTTTCTGATGGTTTTCAAGATATATTTTTGATAGTTCAATGCTTCAAGAAGTATATTGCTTGAATTTCTTTTGTTGCTTGTTTTGTTGTAAAAAAAACATTCATTCGTGTTTGTTTCATTGCTGTGGAAAGAAAGAGAGAAAGAAAAAAAGGTACAGAAACTTTTCCACAACCTCAAAAGAATTTGTTGGAATGTGACTCATTTCTTTTTTAAAACAAGAGGAAAACATACACATGTACCCACTTATGTACCTACAATTCCAGCATGAACATTAGACTGAAAGGAAAATCTCCAAAATTTCCAAATTCTATTGACTATTATGAAATTTTTGTGCACTGTGCATTTATGTTCTTTCTCAGAGTCAATAATATCAATTTCAGCAGATCACTGATTATACACACACAGACAAACTCTTAACACAGTTAAATAATATACAAATAAAGTACAGAATAATAATGAAAACATAAAAGCAAATAAGTTAAAATGCATTCTAAGAAACAAATAAACCTCACTTACTACATAAAACTAATCCACAAAAAGGTTAGCTTCAAAAGTACGAAGCCTGAATAAAAGTATCTTTGTAAATCAAAGGACAACAAAGATGGAAGTAGCTTGCTCTCTCTTACGTTCCCATAAATTGTATATTCAATGATAGTAGGACTCTGAAAAATGACTTGTGAAGATCATGAAACTTGGTCAGGTTTCACATTGCTTGACATATTGTCATTTGACTTTTGTTATAAAAATATTCAATCCTGTTTTTCTCATTGTGGTAGAAAGAGAGAGAGAGAGAGAGAGAGAGAGAGAGAGAGAGAGAGAGAGAGAGAGAGAGAGAGAGAGAGAGAGAGAGAGAGAGAAAGGTAAGAAGGTACACTTAAACATTAAATGGTAGGAAAGAATTACAGGAAAGTTTAACTCTTTGCTACCATATAAAGTGGCTGGAAATCCCACCTATCAATGACAACGGAACTATAGAAAGACCAGCTAGACCTAAAGCATCACCATCTCATCTCTCCTTGAAAATCAGAGCCCAGTGACTGAGAATATGCAGTCTTGCCATGGAATTTTCAATTGAAGCGGAAGAATGGGAGATTTAGGATATATAAAGAAAAAAAGCCCTCTGCCCATTATTGAGCTATGAAATATAATGATAGCTACAAACTTTAATGGAACCATAAGACCATGAACAGAGTTATGAACTGCAATGTCTAGTTATGATGACCTCCAGAACTGCATTAAGATCAGTTGTTAGGGAACGTAAACTGGGATGCTGAATTCGACCCATATCTTGCTCATAGGATTCCTGTGGACCTAGATGGTCGTTGTTGAATCTAATCCTTGGTATAGCTCTCTCTATATTTTCATTTACGGAATCTGTCACATGGAAGACTTCACAGAGTTTATCACATGGGATAAAGCAGTTAGAACATTTAATGCTCAGATAATTTTTTGATAATGCCTAAAATTTTTGGATTATTCTTTACTTTTTTCTCTGCCAGTTTACTAAAGATTTCTAACCTCTCAATTACGTTGGTCTGTGCTTTACAGACTAAATCTGATTGTCGTTGAAATGTTTTTCCAGCCATGGTTGCCTTCAATCTAGTGATGCCTCTCAGATTTGATTTTAGAGACAATTCTGAAAAAAAGGGAAAAAAATAGCAATGCCCTTCTTGGAAGCAAGGTTTTGGCTTTTCTTTCTTTATTTTTTTTAAATACTCGTATCACCAGACTTTATTCATTTCTTCTTTTCTTTTTTTTTCATTTAAGGTATTTTAAAACCTTGAATGCTCATGTGGCAGTACGAAAACTTTTGTAAGCTGAAAACAAATCTGTCTTCTTTTATTCCTTGGAGTCTGATCCTTTCTTTTGTTTTGCCATGTGCCGGCACAAGTGGTTTCCTAGGGAATTATAAAACTGGGAATATAGCATTAGAAATAAAACCTTTGGCATTTATTCTTGATCTTATCATCAAGTTGGGCTTTTTCAGCTCTTTGTTCAATATTCGTAGGCGTCCAGTTGAAATACTTAATTACAAGGGCCTTGCTTTACATCCTGACATTTCAAATGGAGTCTTGGCTGCATATGATGTAATGTGCTTTGTGAACTAAGCAATCTAGGAGGATCTGACATCCCTTCAGAATATGTGGTAGAAGTTTTGACATAGCAGCTATAGGGTCTCCCCCCCATTTCTTCTTATGAAGGGTGATCACAGAAGAGTAGACTAAGATTCAGTTCTTAGAAAGGCAAATTGATATGCTTGCATAATTACAGAGCTGTAGCTATTGTCCTGCGCTGGGGAATGTAAACTGAGAGATTTCTACAGAGCCTCAAGCTAACGCTGTTTACTGAGGGACTTACTTTATAAATGAATCAGAACATTTCATCTAGTCAAGTACATACATCTGGCAGAGCTTCTGTAGGATCTTTTTGGTTGATGATATCAAGGACTGGACCTGAGACTAGTTCCACTGACAGAGACTAGTTTCCAAGCACTGTCTGAATCACTGGGTTGTTTTTTTCTATAACAACATGGTGAGAATTTCATATGCTAAACATATACGAGTCAAAAAGGATTTTGCATCAGATGTTCATGTATTTGTGATGAAGCAACACTTCATGGATATTGAATGCATACATTTTCATTATAAATAAATTGATCTAGTTGAGCCCAAACTCAAATTTACTGTAGGCTTTTTACTGTTGTTATTGTGTCCTTCTAAAATTTAGAATGGGTATTTTTCTGCAGTATACTTTCAGCCTTGAATAACTAAGAAAAGTACATTTCAGTTATTTACATTCATGTATGTTCTTCTTACACCCTGTTTCCTGCATTGAAGTGAGGAATGTGGTTTAGTAGATCACATCTTTCAGAAACAGATTAATAATATGGCATACAAGAATGATGAATAAATCCACCATAGATTTATGTAGGAGAAAAATAGTGTGATTCATCGAAACAGATCAGTCAAGACATATATGGGAAGCAGTGAACTGAGTTCTCTTAAGGCTGTCATTTTCTTTTCCCAAATTCTCATAAAAAAATGCATACACATTTGAGATAGATGCACCAATTACCAAAGAATATTTGGAAAGGTTGCATATACAAAGTTAGATATTAGAAATAGTTATTTTTAAAATAGCAATTTGAAAGCTGTGTAAAGCACTGAAAAGAGTGCTGTAGTTGAATTAACAATTGTGTAATCATACACATAGAAGCAGATCCAAAAATGGAACACACTGAACATCTGCAGCCTTTGCCAGTCTTAAGGAGTAGTTTGCTAATTTGATAGATTTTCATCTTCTAGGATCATGGTAAGCAACACATAGTACTGCAATTTGATTTTCAATTTATGGAAAATAAAAATAGGGAGAGAAGTGGTAAAGTTGTCACTCTGATAACAGTAGCCAATTAGTTTCATCACTGCATTAAACCTTCTGCCTATCAGAGCTATTTTTGGATGGCAAAGCTAGCATTCACTTTGAAACTGATCTCAAGGCTGAACAAGTTCAATAAGCATTTTTGGGACAAACATCACTGTTTCATTTTTACAGGAATGAGTTCATTTTATGTATCTTGAGAAGAAATAACAAGAGTGCCATTCAATTTACAGATTTATGAACAGCTGTTTGAAAGTGATATATAGAACTGGAGACAAGAAATAGGTATGCATTCATCTGGAATTAATATGCCTATAATAAATTAATACGTCTCCCTTGTGATAGATCAGTTTTTTCCAACAGGGAACTCTCCAGGGATGTTGTTCTAATTGTTTTTTATTGTTGTTATTACTATTACTATTATTGT